TGTAAAAGATAAGATGCGAAAGATTTAAATACCAATTACAGTTTGTTCTTTGTGATTTAGATGGGTTAATTCCTCTTCTTTTTTTTCAAACAAGAATTCATTTTCGTATGTCAATTTCAAATTTTTTTTAAACTCTTGTTGTGCACATTTGTTTAACATACTTAATACTAACTTTCCAAGTTGTGAAATGCATACTAGAATCATCCTCCTCAGTAACATCATTATCTTCACTAAAAATGTGGTGGTCGGTATAAATTTGCTTTTGCTTTCAGAATCATTTGAAGGCTCAATTTCATTATGATTAATATTAGTGCTGTAAATACATTATGACCAACAAAATTTTTAAAGGACTAAAATTTATTAAATAAAAAGTAATTTTTTTTGTGACCTAGGTATGTACTAAAAATCTTACATGCATGGTTTATATAATGAATAAATTTATAGCATAGATTAATTAATCATCAATTGATATTTCAACACCTTTTCCCTTATTATTATTAATTATTATTACTAGAATCTAATATTTATTAATTAATTAAATAAGAATGAAAAAGATTGTTAGTAATAAATTAACAATTAACAATTTAATTAATTTATTAATGAAATTTTGTATTTATTCACCTTTGTTAAAATCAACATTTAGGAGAATAGAGTTGATATCAAGACTACTTAATGAACAATCATTACTTGTATAACTTTTCAAGCTTTTTGACTTAGAAATCTCACCATCTAATATTCTACTTGTATGATATGCATCTGGATGTGATTTGTGTGCTTGTTGCGAGTTGCTAATACTACTACTACTGATATTACTATTATTATTATCAAGAATTTCTTTTAGTTTATTTTGAGCAAATTTCTGAAGTTTTCTAATAGTTGGTCTTTTAGATGGATCCACATCCCAACACTTCTGCATCATCTGCAAATAATCATCAGGCATTCCAGATAATATTGGTGGTCGTAAACCTTCACATATATCAAAAATTAAACAATGATTATGACCTCTATCATCAAATGGTGGATGGCCTGCAAATATTTCCCACATAAGCATCCCAACACTATAAACATCTGTTTCTTTTGTGTTCTTTGCATTGATTTTGCCTCTAAGTAGCTCAGGTGCAACATATGATATAATTCCATAGATTTTATTTGATGATTTTTCATCAACTGGTCCACATAATCCTAAATCTGTAATATAACAATTACCTCCAGATATTAATATATTACCACTATGCAAATCACAATGAATTAAATCTTTTTCATGTATACGATATAATGCATTACATAAATATCTAAAGATTGTAATTCTATCTTTTAGTGTTAAATTATAATGATTTTTTTGTAAATAATCCCTTAAATTTCCTTCTGGATGATAATCAAGAACCATTGCATAATTTCCATTATTTGGGATACCGTAGCAAGGAACAATCACTGATGATTTAATTTTACAATAATTCATTGCCTGTAATTAAATATAAAATCAATTAGTATTTATTATATAATACATTGTTATTTATTTTTGATTTAAAAACTACCAACCTCATCAAAGAATGTTTTTCCTGGATTACTTGAATTATTTAAACATTTTAACACTACAAGTTGCCTTCCACAGTAACTAAATCCGTTTTTATTTTCATCATAATCAATTATTCTTCCCCTTGTCCATGTAGCAGTGTAAACTGAACTAAATCCACCTTCAGTTAATTTTGTTACTTTTTCAAATTGCTCAAAAGGTATCCATTCTAAAATATACTTTGGCAGAGACAATTTCATTTGACATTGTTGAATAAAATCATCAATTAAGTTATTTCCAGATGTCCAAGTGGTGAAAAGACTCTGTAATTGTAAGCTAATACAACCTTCACAGAATCTATCAGAGTATCTTGTTAATTTACACTTGTCACATTCTTTTGATTTGCCCAATTTGTAAGTTACATCATTTAATTCAAAATCATAAATAAACTTTTCCTCACAAAATTGTTTTTCATTTTCAAGAAGCTCCTTATTTTCTTTGACTAATGAAAAAAAATAATCTTTTCTATTTTCTTTTTTAGAATTCAATAGAGCATTATTATACATTTCAGCATTAATTTTAACTACAAAGTTTCTTCTTTCTGGTGATAATGATTTATTAAATGACATTTTAACTTTATTTATTTTGGAAATGGTAAAATTTAATTAATGTTGAACGGTGAAGAAATTGAAAACTTTTTTTAAGAATAGTGAATTTTGTTTTCTGTGTAAAATCACAAAATAAATTTTGTACGCATGGTAAAAGCACGTGAGCTTGATTTCGTAATTCCAGTGAAGAAAAATATTGCAACATTCTTTGCTTTCACGAAATGAATACAGATCATTGACAAAACGAATCAACATAGAACAGGGTGTCCATTAGTGATATTAAAGATAGTATTTTGAACATGCCTAGAAACGTTTGAAAAGTGAGTTGCTCAATTGAACATAGCTATTTACAAGCTGCTGAAATTCATCCCATGTTAGGAGTGAGACATCCAGACTAAATATACCACACTGGTGTGTACTAGTTTTCAAGTGTTGGATGATATGAAGTATTCGAAGACAGAGATTACGTCCAAGAATTTGACAGAGGTTCTTTTATTCTACCCAAAATAATTTAGGATGATTATCACAGATAACATGTGTCTCATCAATAATAACAACTGTAGATTCTTTGCTGCAACTGATGTTCATTCAGGTGTAACCAAATTATTCATCCAGAATTGTTCAAAGAGTCTCTCGTTATTGAGGACTTCTTTCCCACCAATACCAGCAAGAGAAATATATATGGCATTATGTCCCAGTTATTGAATAGTCTTGAAGCACCTCACCAGTGTACTCTTGCCTGAGAATCGAGGACTACGCAGGAGGCTAATATGATGATTGTTAATGAAGTCTGCAATCACTTTCAACTAATTAGGTGATAATCACTGTCAGGCTGACACAGCCTTCCTCTGGTTCCAAGAGATATTTAGGTGTAGTTGCTATTCTTTCGTCTGAAGATATTTAATACGTAATTAGTCAACAAGTTAGTAATAATATACAAAAAAATTTAAAAGGAAAGAAAGGTAGAGTATAGATGACAGAAAATGGGCAGTGATAATAAGGTGTATAGGTGAAAGAAAAAGACGACGAATAATAATACATTATTGGTCAAATTAATGACATTCCAGTCCCTAGTTTCTTTTATAACACTGAGTTATGAGAATGACAATAGATGAATGTTGAAATTAATATTACAGCTGGATTTTATCTCCTCCCAATTATGCATGTGGCTGTAAACATTGAAATACCATATAAAAAATAAAATATGGAATTGGTACGGAGTAGACACGGAATGCAAAAAAGTATGGAAAAGACATACAAAAGGTATGGAAAAACCATAATAATATAAAAAGTACGAAAACAGTTCATGTAACAAAAACAAATTTCTGTACTTTTTATACGCTTTCCCGCGCCTTTTATACGTCTTTTTTTTGCATTCCATACCTATTCCGTACCTATTCCGTATTTTATTTTTAATAAAATGAGATAATTAATTAACTGATAAAGTTACAAATAAAAATAGTCCTTTTTATTATCAATATTAACTTATTATTATACTGACAAATTTAAACTTTTCATTTTTTTTTTTTATTAATAACTAATAAAGCAAGCAAATAATAATTGTTTATATGAGAATACTCTTCTAGGTATATAAGAAAACTATCGGAATTTAATCCGGTTCTCTCGATCAATAATATATAGTTCATTATCTGGCCTGTAAAAAATTTACTCCGTTATTAAACTCGGTGCTTTTTCGTTTATATTAATAAATATACATTCCGTGTTTTTTTCCATAATATTATTATTACAAAATCGGATATGGTGTAGGAGCTAGTCCACTGCGCCACTACGCCAAAAATTTTTAGTTCACTGGTTCTCGAGTTCTATACTTTTTAGGAAGGTGACGATTATCACTATATAATAAAAATTTTTTTAGGGAAAAAAAAGATCAAGACATGTATTCCTTTGTAAATATTTTTTTTTATTGAATAATATAAAAATTATTCAATAATTTTATTTACTTGAAGGGTAGATTGAAAAAATGTATAAAATGGATTTAACCATCTTTCCTATAAAAACGTTAGATGATTATTGAGCTTATACATACATTAATAATTAAACAAATATTATATATTTATTGACAAAAAATGAAATGATTGAAAAAAAAAATATTTATTTATGCAATTATGAGAAATGGGATAAGAGACAAATCAACAATATTTATTTTTTTTTTTATAAGAAATTAGAAAGAAGGTTCACATCTCCATTTAAGAATGCGATGATATCTGGAGTAAAATGTTCTTTTGTTCAAGTCATAAATAGACACTTTTTATTTCTACTTAACCAAGATTTCTTGCAAATTTCAATAATTGACCTAGTTGGACAGCCTATAAAATAAACAATATATATAAATTTTTAAATGATTGTATTGGTTTTTTTTTTATCAACTACTATTTCACCATTTTCATTTAAAAGCAATAAAAATAATAATAATAATAATAATAATGATAATCACTTGCCACTCATGCCTTTAATATTATAACCAGAATCATCTGTAGTAAGCATAACACTAGCTATATCAATATGTGCATACCTAATACAATTCAATTCATCTGCATCTTTAATTCTAATGCCACCAATTTCACTTTCATCATCATCATCATCATCAACCTCATCATTATCTTTTTTCACAATTAAATCTTTATATAATCCATTAACAAATTCTTTTAGAAAAGCAGCAGCAACACTTGACCCTCCATACCTATCACCACCAACATTAACCAAATCTGCTACACTTGATTTCTCCAGCCCTTTTTTATAAGCATCTTCCAATGGCATTCGCCAAAATCTATTGTTGGTTTTTTTACTAGAACTTGATAATTGTTGCCATAATACATTAGAATTGGTAAATACACCAGAATAAACATTACCTAATGCCACACCCATTTCACCCATTAAGGTAGCCATATCAATTAAAGTATGAGGTTTGAAAGTTGAACTGGTGTAGTATAATGCATCAGCTAGAATAAGACGACCTTCTGCATCAGTATCACCAACCTCGATAGATTTACCATTCATCGCTATTACAACATCACCAGGTTTAGTTGCATAACTCAAAGGCATATTTTTGCATAATGGAATTGTTGCTATGACATTAGTTGGTAATCTTAATTTTGCTATGTCATACAAAGATGCAGAAACGGCTGCACCTCCACCCATATCAGCCTTCATTTCTGACATGTTTGAAGATGGTTTCAATGAAATACCACCAGAATCAAACATGACTCCTTTTCTAACCAATGCTAATAATGACAATGGTGACTTGTCACTGCCACCTTTATAATGCATCTCCAAAAATTTCAAAGGTTCATCAGATCCTTTGGAAACTGACAAAAATGATCCCATTTTTTTTCTTCCACCCAATCCTTATCACGAATGATTATCTCAACATTTGACAATCTGTTAAATTTTTATTGCACATATTCAGTAAAGTTTGTTGGGGTCATATAATTTGCTGGCGCTTCCATTAGTGTACAAGCAAAATTCTGTGCTTCTGCATAAATCAAACCAGTTTCCCATGATAACTCTTTAAAATTATTGATGCCAGTTGTTGTTTCAGATGGTGAAAATGAAGTAGTTAGAGAAGAAGAATAGGATGATGATGATGATGATTTTGATCCAAGTGGTGTAATTGTTATCAGTGATTTTTGATTTTTAACAGATTTTAAAGTATTGTAATTATATAATCCAAGTATTGCTCCTTCAGCAGCACCTACAAATATATTAATTAATATTAAATTATGAATTACTTTATATTATTACACACATCAATTTACCGTGTTCATTATTCATGACATCAACTAAAATATTTTTAGCGTTATTTTCTCTTAGACTGCAAACTCCAACAGCTGACTAAAATAAGCAAATAGTAATAATGTACAGTAAGTAATGATTTAACGAGATATTCTGTTTAAAATCATAATAAATTATCATTTTATCATGATTGATAATTAACATTACCACATTTCTAGCAATTTCCAAAACCTCATATAACTCTTGATCATTACTAGGGTTTTTGAAATCTCTTCTTTTGCCCAATCCAACAATAGCAATTTTTTTAGGAAAACTGTTACCACTGTCAACATCAACAGCAGCATCATCATCAATTTTATCAATTCCATACAACTATTTACATTCACCTAAATTTCCTTTACTACATCCATAATATCCAAGTTTTTTTTTGATTGTTTGTTGAAATTTTTCAGAAAGTTTATTTGATCCAATAGTTTGACTTAACGTACCATCCTTGAATACATCTAGTACAATACCATCAAATTTTGAAAAGTTCAGATTATTGTTGTTACTGCTGCCTCTAGAAACATTAGGATTGTCATTATTGTTGTTTGTGATTTTTGATGTTGTTGAAAAAGCTGTTAATTTAAAAGAAAAATGAAATGATTGATTGATTGATTTTCCTGAATTTCCTAATACCAATCTTGTATTTATTTGGTAATGATGTTGATGATGATAAAAATTGTCTTTTAATTAATGATTGATTTAAGCTTGTGGATAATTGATAGTGCATATTAAATTTTTTATATAGATACAATAGATCTTTTTTTATTTTAAACTGACTTAAAAAAAGAAAAATACCACCAATCTACTACACCCCCTTATTTACCTATAAACCCCCCAATATTAATAAAAGGGTGGCTCGTATCATTTATTTTTAGCTTTCCTGATAATTGAATAATATTATGGTGTTGCAACTCGTGTTGCAACAATACAACATTTGGAGGGTCAGGATTTACGGTGTTGCAACTAACCGTAAATCATTGTTGTGTTGCAATGTTGCAACGTTGTAATAAATAAAAAGTAGATCCTTACTTTTCCATATTGATTTCTTTTCTCCCACGAGTAAGGTGAATTTTGCTACTGATAACAGAAATAAACAGGGTCCAAAATATAGTGATATCTGGGAATATTTTACACGTGGTAATCATCTTGGTAGTGGACATTACCAAGCTACGTGTAAGCTATGTTTGTCATTTTTTAAAGATGCCCGACCATATCTTTTACGTTCTCATATAGTTTCTCAATGTCCAAAAGCATCTGAAACTATCAAAAATGAAATCAACATTTTTCTAAACAAGGAAAACCTTCTGAAAATTCTGGACAATGTCATATTGACGGTTATTTTTGTTCAGTTAATTTAGAAGAATCACGCATAAAACAAATCAATGAAGCTTTAGTTATGATGTTTATTATGTGTGCATTACCTTTCCGCCTTGTAGAAAACCCATTTTTCATTAATTTTTTAAAAGTATTAAATCCTGGATATCAACCACCTTCAAGAAAAGCTCTTGCTGGTCGTTTACTTGATAATGAAATAGCACAGATTGATAAAAAAATTAATAAAGATCTTGAACATGCAGAACATTTAACATTAGGTAATTAAATAAATAAATTTTAATTATAACAGATAATAGTAAAAATAATTTTACTATGGTGCAAGTCACTTAGTCGCTGAACTTTTTGTGCCATGACGCCAATTTTGAGAAAAAATATTCCAATAAAAAATTTTAGTCATGTGTTTTTTGAAGATCGCCAAGGGCCAAATATAGCTGGCTTGGTCTAAAGACCTCCTAAAAATAGTTGGATGCGAAACATCCTAGCATCCTTTTGTACAATGATGTAGTTTTTCATAAAATAAACTATTTCGTGGCCAAAAAACATATACATAAATAGACCAAAAAATA